TGAATTAGCCGAATTTTTTTACTGAAAAAGTACGGAAATTTTTAATTTCTAACAACATATTTTGAAGACGCTCTTCTATTACAGGGATTGCTTCTATTTTCCAAGCCCCTCTCGGAGGGCCCTTCTATTAGAGGGGACCTTCTAATACAGTTTTTACGGTATCATACTCTCGACCTTATTACTGTCTTTTCATTCCTATCACTCACATAGTATTTTTTCAGAACACCAGAGTAAAACAAAGGTAATTAATATCGGTGGTCCCCCGCCTCAACATCATGGACCCCGAACCGCTCCGATTCCTCCGACCGATCGATTCTGAAGATCAATCAACAATCGATACGGAAGGAGAGGATACGTCTTCAATACTATCAGATGGCGTGCCTTACAGAATGAATAATACTGACCTGAACGAAGAACGAATTGATGAGTCTTGTATTGATAACAACGACAATCAAGGAACATTTGATCAGATTTTCATCTCTGTGGAAGTAATTTCCAATTGTCAAGAAGAATCAGAAATTCAACTGGAGGATTCTTCCACCGATAACAACAGCAATATATCAACTGGAAATGAGTAAAAAGTGGTTCGAGGGGAAATAGCGAAATTTAGTTTAAAAACCACTGGAAGGAGTAGACAAAACCACTGGAAGGAGTAGACAAAACCACTGGAAGGAGTAGACAAAACCACTGGAAGGAGTAGACAAAACCACTGGAAGGAGTAGACAAAACCACTGGAAGGAGTAGACAAAACCACTGGAAGGAGTAGACAACGAACAGTCGCCCTTTTTTCGCTATGAAAGATAAGGAAACCGACATTTTGTGCCAAAAGAAGAATTGAGAAGAACAAAGTGTTTCAAAGAAGAATTGCTAGCTTTTCAACAAGAATTCGTGGAATTTGGTGCCGAAAACTGACTTTTCGTCTGAAAATCAGTCATTTTTGTATCAAATTGTTCAAATTTGTGTCAGAGCTCGGAATTTTCCATAGAATTTCGCTGTCTGCTGTTATTCGTCGACTAGAACTAGTTTTCTTCGTCTTGGCTAATTCCCTAGTCTTCAGAATCTGTATTCGTTCGGAAACAAATTTCATCGTGTTCCTACAGTAGAAATGTCGGTTTCAAAGGGTTTCGTGCTTGATGATGATGGAATACATGGTAACTTCTCTTCAAAGGATTCGTCAGCATATTCTGCGAGTGAAAATGATTTTCTGGAACAAAAATTGGGGAAAATGATGCAAAAATGCAATTTTGAAAACCAGAACGCAGTTCAGCAGACTATTCAGAATCTTCAAAAATTCACAAAGTTGTCAGGAAACGGAGCTTATAGTATTTTATTGCCTTTAATCAGTTTGATCAAAGAAAAAGACAATGACTCTTTCAAGCAGGTTGCCGATCACGACGATGTTGTGAAACGCATTCGTGTGTCATGGCAAGAAGAACGAGAGGGCAGGAAACGAATTCCAAATTTCGTAATGAAGATTTGTGAGTGGATGCTGGATAATGGATTAAGGTCAGTTGAAGAACTTGAAGAAGAATGGAAGGCTGCACAACAAAGAAGACTAGATCTGATTTCGCTGTTAGAGGATAATACTGTACAGTTAGAGTGCGCGAGGAAAAGAGCGTATGATCAATCAAAGTCAGGAGAATGCCCAGAGGAAAGAAATAGGTTTTCAAAGTGCGATCGAAAAATTTGATATTCTGGCCAGTATGGATCTAAAAGAGCAGTTTCATGAAAGAATTTCTGTATTAGAAACTCTAACAGTCATCGAAGAACAAATAAATGTATCAGAGATCATGACAGAACCTGCCTCAGAAAATTCAAAGGAGAAGGAAGAAAGCAATGTACAGGACAAGAAAGCTAACGACTGTAGGAAAAGTCAAGGTCCCCCGATGAGATTGCTATCGAATACTTCAAATTTGAATAAATGTGAGAACGAAAACTGGGTCTTCTTAATTGGGCCTACAACACCAAAGAAGGATACCATGTTGACTTCTGGGAAAAAGCCACCATTGAAAAAACACGACCCTAAAAAGGCCGGAGAGGGTGCCTGTGGCTTTGGTTTTCAGACAAAGACCAATCGCCGAATTCAGGAGGAACCGTGCCCACGGAAGGATCCACCGTTACTGAAGCATGAAGATACAAGTGATTCCCAAATCAATCTGGATGAAGCACAAGTTCTCCTACACCAAGAGTTTCGTCCACGAAAGGATCCACCACAACCACAACTGTCTCATTCGAAGGATACTAGTCATATCCAGGATCAATTGAAAGCCCGCTTACACCAAGAGTTTCGACCAAGGAAGGATCCACCCCAAATGCACCCAGATGATACCAGAGAATTTGAGTCCCAACCGCAGCAACGTGAAGTTCACCTGCATCAGGATTTCCGACCAAGGAAAGATCCGCCATGTCAAGAGCACCACCACCACAACATGTCACAAAGTCACTATGGTTCAATCACGGATTCATGGTCCAATTTCGTTATTGATGTGCACTGATGAGCCAAGTACACCTACAGCCATCACCTTCACTAAATGTCGTTAATTTTCTAAAATCTTATGATTGTAACAATCTTGCCAAATGTTTCCCCCCATATATCTCTTATTTCCTAATTACCCCAGTTTCTTATTCATTGAATTCTATATTTTCTTGCCATCCCATACCCCACCCATATGAGTTTTAAGTAGTTGTTATTCTTTTAAGTTTTCTAGGTCCCGTCTACCCATCCCATGTTTTCATTAATTGTGATTTTGTGCCCTTTAATCATTGAGCTGAGGCAATCACCATTTTCACTCTTGCCACGTACGGGACTCGAAAATGGACGGAGATGTACGGTATTCTACCGTGTTTTCTCTTTTAAAATCCTCTTTCCAAGTCTAAAGGAGAGAAATCTCCCCCGAACACACGTGCAAGAGGTGTGGATTACTGTATCCGCGCGCGAAACTGTGTGCGCGCCAAAACGCGTCTCCTCTCTCGGCAAATTCTCATCGTTTTCTTTAGTTTTCGCTGGTGTTCGCTCACGATTGGTGACGACCCGTTAAAGTGTGGCTCACTGGTTTTAAAGGTTTTATAGTGGTTTATTGAGTAAATTCAATAAATAGTGTTTTAGAGGAATTCTGTGTGTTAGTGTCTTCTAGTTTTTCAGGTTACAAAGGTCGCTTTGAGTGCATAGAGGTTCTGTGAGTGCATAGCGTTTGTGTGTGTCTCTCACTCTCTCTGCATCTCTTTGTTTTCTATAGTGTTTTTAGCAGTTAGTGTTTCTGGGAATCCTTTTTCAGTTACATTACTCCTCTATCCACTCTAGGGCTTTAGCCGGAAGTTCGAATCCCTCTTGTGTCTATTGTCTTTTTCTTTAATTTCCTCGTCGAATTTTCCGCGCCGCAGGATTGCAAGCTTCTAAACCCCGCCCACTTTTCTGCGCACCGCAAAAAAATGAGGAGAAAGTCAGTACATTGAGGTCTGATAGAAAAGGGTCTGTAACTCGTGTCTGGAGAAAGATTTTTCGCTGAAATTTTGGGAATGGACTTCTATAAGAGTGGTGAAGAGAATCCAACAATAAAAATAAGAAAATATCTATTTTGAAAATTATGTTGTGGTGCCTACCTATAAATCCAAAACTAGGACACCAAACTAAAATGGATGTAACTTCGGCTCAAAATTAATAACTCCAAACCTTAAAAACTGTTCTGTATATCGGAAGCTTTCAAATTATGACTATTTTAAATTTGGAACCATGTGGCATATTTTTCCAGGCGATGAATACCGTGCGGAGCTCGTCGCAGCAGGGCTCTCAACTCAAGCCATTGATGGGATTTCAAAAATCGGAGAGACGGCCTATATTTCTTTTGGGAAGAGAGAATCACCAAGTTTCCAGGATGCTATTCATGACGTGACCAAGTTGTTTTTGGATGTGGAAAAGTTTATGAAGACTCAATCGGAGCAAAATCAGAAGTCGTATGCCGCCTACGTGGAGAAGAAGAAAAAAGAGTTAGAAAATTGATATCATTTGTTGAAAATGAAGTTTTATTTTTATTTGAAAAACGAAATTCTTATATTGGCTTTTGGGAAATTCTTAGACTTTTTTGGGGTTTTTAGCTATTTTCAAAGGTTCATTTTCGATTTTTCCGGCTTTTTTGTCTGAAATTTGATGGAACGGTGTCTTGATTACTGTAGATTACTGTGAAAATCTAATTTCCTTTTGTAGTTTTTTGCAAACACAACCACGTCAAAATGCTGAGAAGACATGATTTTGTCTGCAATAAAATTTACAAAAAACAGGTTTTCTACAGTAATCTACAGTAATCTTCCGTCTAGAACACCATCCCGAAAAATCGAAAAAATGTTGAAAATAGCTGAAAAACCCAAAAAGATCTCAAAATTTTGCAAAAAATTGGAAAAAAAAATCAAAAATCAGTGAGAATCGAGAGAGAATCGGAAAATAAAAATATTTTTAGGTCACTGTAGTTTTCGTGGTGTGACCTTCGGCCACCGGCGTTTTTCTTCCACAGCTTCGATTTGCTTGCACCAAATATTTTCAAATACCCTACAGTAATCCTTTCAATTTTCGCTTTTTTTCTACAGTAATCCTTTTTATTTTGGAATATTTCTTCCCATAGTAATCCTTTCAGTGTGAATCTTAAAATATATTATCTTATCTTCCTTATATATAAAAAAACGATACACGCGTCTGTCCGTCCTCATGTCGGGCTGTGGACTTTTGAAAAACTTGAAAATTAAATATAGATTAAAGGTGGGGGGACATGAAAAAAAATAATGTTCTCGAAGTTCCGTTCAAAAATGCCCCTCGAGGAGTTGAACTTGTGAGGGCGATGATTGAGGGTGCGGCGCCGCTACCGACTGAGCCACGCGGGCAAAGAGAAAGCGCACGCCCGATTGCATACATAAAGGCGAGGACGACAGCCGTACGCAGAGTGACATTAAGCGTTGTACACCGTGACGGTAGAATGCATACTCTAGCTACAAAAAAACTACGAAAAATCTCCTGTCTCCCCACCTTTAACGCGACCCTTTAAAAAAAGTGAGTAGTGGAGTGACGAACCAGAAAAAAACCTAGATTAAATCGCGCCGAAGTTGTACCAGATTGCTGGCAAATAATAAATGAACAGCTAAACATTCGAACGAGTAAAAATCGTTATTCACAATCACTATGTTCAATCAGTTATCATCCATTCTTCGTTGCAATCAGCTTATCGTACTCGGTCACAAAAACGCTCATCTCCGGACTAGTAATCTTTCGATTCTCAGCCAACGCCAAAAGTACACGATGCATGAATAGATATTGAGCATCAGTTTGAACAGATCCATGACGTTGATTCCGGATATCCTTGACAATTTCCTTCAGAATTACTTTTTCTCCGGCACAAAACTTGACAAGAGCAATCTCAAGACCAACGATAGATCCAGTACGACCGATGCCAGCGGAGCAGTGGACAATGATGGGGCTAGCTGTTTTGAGCTGAAATTATTTTTATATTGGAATTCGTTTCTAAATGCTCACTCGAATAAGAAGTCTGAAAACCGCCATTGGAATTTCCGGAACTCCACGATCCGGCCAAGCCTTCCATTGCCAGTGTTCAAATGCATGAACTGCGCCCTTATCATCAGTGATCGAAATCTTCATGAGCAGGATATTCTGTTCCACTTCTTTCGCTGCTTCCGTTATCTTTACCGTCAACTTTCCATCCATCAAAACCATGGCTCCATCAACCGACTCTGGCCAATATTGCTCACATTTCTTCTTTCCCAATTCCATTATATTACAAAGCATTACAACACACGGAGCCTTCTCCTGCCAAATCATTCTATAGAAATCGTCAATCGTTTTTTCAGTGGGTCCTTGAGTGCAAATGAACTTGTTGAGTCCATTGATCTTGACCCAATTCGCATGGATGTAGTCATTGGGATTGTCTTCCGGCCATTTCAACACAACGCGAGTCTCATCGATGCAGTAAACATCTGGAATTTGTGAATTTTGAGAATCTACAATATCACGGGCCAGTGTGGCCTAACTTTCCTAACATAATTTTCAAGACCATTTTGAATTGGTGGCCTAACTTTTGCATTTTGAGTTTTTAAGGACATTTAGTATTGTGTCCTAGAAAACACAACTTGCAAAGTTAGGCCAGCACGTCAAAATGACCAACACTAGGTGAATCTCAGGTCATTTTTAGACCGTTTTGACGGGGTGGCCTAACTTTCGCAAGTTGAGTTTTCTAAGCCACCAACTTTTTGGCCTAGAAATGACCGGTTATTCATTTTTTGTGATTTCTAGACCATTTTAGCATGGTGGCCTAACTTTTGCAAGTTAAGTTTTGTAGGCCACCATGGTAAATGGCCTAAAACGCACCAGGTGAATATCAGATAATTACTACATCATTTACCATCGTGGCCTAACATTCCCAACTTGAATTTTCTAGGCCACCGTAGTTGATAGTCCATAAATGATCTAAATATGCCACTGATGTGCTTTCGAGGCAAATTTGACATGGTGTCCTAATTTGTGAAAGTTAGTGCACCATGTATATCAAAAAGACCAAGAAATCCCACCAGGTGAATGTTTGAACATTTTTAGGTCGATTTCACCCCATGTGCTGTCTTGACCATTTTAACTTTGTGGCCAACTTTCGCAAGTTGAATTTTCTAGGCCACCTTGTTAAAATGGTTTAGAACGCACTGAACAATGTTTAGTTGTTCGAAAACCATTGTGCTCACCCTTGTACCGATTCTTCTCCGGATGAGTCTCGTGGCCAGTTTTTGGCTTCTGACACGACTGAGTTTCCATTTTCAGAGCCACAAACTCTGTAGCTATATTCTTGACTCCCGTTTCAATGGTAGTCTTCACAAAGTCTTTCAACATCGCCTCATTCACTTCTCCATACTGTGCCGCCCGTCTGACAACTGCACTTCTCTTCTTCACGATCTTCTTCTTCGGACGATCCGCCTGAGTTCCATCCTCGGTCTCCATTGTCACTGTAAGATTTAAAGTAACCATTTTTCCAGGAAAAGTTCTGAAGACTAACAATCCTTTTGAACCTGATTCTTTCTTGGATTTCTCTTCTTGTTCACCGACGTCATCTTTAGGATAACGTTTTTCTTTTTCAGCTCACTGTTGTCAATTGTACTTGGATGACGCAAAACAGAAATACCTAGAAATCGTGGATCAAGGGATCAAGTTTTTCTGATCAAGTTTTTTTGGGGAAGGACGTTGCAAACTGTGGAGGGATTCACGTAGTAATGGGTGTTACCTGTTTCAAGTTTGCCAAAAAGTCGAGGGACAATTGGTGACAATCACTGTGAACTTGTTTGATACTTTAATCATACAACTTTTCTTTAAAGTATGCTTTTTAGAATTTCCACTGTTTCGACTTGTTCACATTATTATTCCAAACATTCAAAACCAATCAAGTAGATAGAAGTATTTTGAATTCCAAATGATAATGAACCTACCGTAAGACCTGTAATAAAAACCCTCCACACTGTTAACTTTGAGCTAATTATCTCCATTCATGGGCAAGATATTAGTGTCAACTTGTAAGAAAATGCTTCGGTAATTATGATAAACAATTCATCAGTTGACACATTTTTCATATCTTTGACAGGAAATGAGATAGTCGGTATAGGGTTGAATTCTAAAAGAGCAAATACGGTAGTATATTTTTAGAATTTTCACTGTTTCGCCTTCTTCATATATTTATTCCAAACATGCAAAATTCAATTTTACCACGGTACATATTCCAAAGCACAGAAAATTGGACCTATGTATATCAATAATACAATTTCCGAAAACATATTCAGCTTCTTTAGAAAAACTGAAGGCTCCAGAAGAGTTTTAAAGGAGGCAGCGGTACTCAAAGCTGATGTCCCAAATGAATTGAATTTCCAGAAGTTTTCAGAGTTCCTTTTTGATTGCGATTTAATTTTGATTTTCCAAACTTTATTTGACATCCATTGATTTTTCTATCCTAATGAACAATTTTTGAAATTCTGATGATCTCCTTGTATTGGTAGAAAAAACAAATCGAAACCTACAAAAGAAATGTCGATGGTCATGGCGGGAAATCGCACGACAACTACCGTAATCTAAAATGTTTTTCGAGTTGGTTTTCTCGATTTTCGTACGTTTTCAGTCAATAGTTTCACTAGCAATTTTTTATTTTCCTATTTGCTCGGGGAAAAGGAGAAATCAAATCCTGAAAACATAAAACAAAATTTAGGTTACGGTATTTTTCGTTGCGCAGTTTGAAGTCAGCTCAAACCATTGACTTTTTTCTTTGGAAGTTCAGTTTTCAGAGTTTTCACTGTTTCGTGTCATTATCTTAATTTTTCCAAACATTTGAAGTTAATTTGATGCATTGAAATCGTGCAATTCCATAATGACGCGTTCAATGTAGCCTCCAGGAACTGGAAATTGCGTCCAAAGCTGTCAATTTTTCCAGGTTTTCCAGAGACTCAAAACTTTGATTTTCCTTGTTGTAGCTGTTTTTTTTCTTCGACATCATTTCGAGATCCAAAAGAAGAAAGTTTCTAATTTACAGCNGAACCTTCGAAAAAATAACATATGCTACAACGAGGTAAATCGAAGTTTTGTGTCCCTGGAAAACCTGGAAAAATTGGCAGCTTTGGACGCAATCTCCAGTCCTGGAGACTGCTTTGAAAGCGGCATAGGAGTTAAACAAAGTAGTCGTCAATTACGCGACATGTATGTTGATTTTCAAATCTTTCTGCTTTGGAGATGCAGATTTTTGCGCAACTTTGTAATAAATGTGTGTATAAGTGTTCTCAACAAAGTTTATAGATGCTCAATAAAGTTTCGAGTTCTTTTATAAACTCTATGTACTTCTTGAAACCGAAAAGTATTTTACACGAGATGTTTATTTTAAAAAATGTGATTCACATTAAAAAAAACACCCAGAAAAATTGCAAAATCTCGAATCAAAAAAGTCAGCGATTCCGAAAAACTCCCGAATGTTCCAGCATTTCTTTTTTGAATTCCAGCGAAATTTCAAATTTTCATTGAAAATTCAAATCAAACAAACTTTGTTTCAGGTCATTATTTTGGAAACAAGATTTCAAAGACATTGAAAACAAATAACCCAATAATATTTCGAGTATTCTATAAATTCTATCTACTCCTTGAAACCGAAAAGTAATTTCATACAAAACTTTTATCACATCAAAATGTGATTCACATTAAATTTTAAAAATAAAGCATTCGCAAAAATTGTAGAACTTCCAATCCACAAAGTAGCAATTTTCGGAAACTTCTAGAATGTTCCTTCTTTTTTTTAACCCCGCCAGAAATTGAAAATTCCATATTTTTCATTCCAATAAAACATAATGTCATTCAGATCAAATTAGTCACAACCAACAAGTGTAGTCAGGGACTCCATCCTCAAAATGAATAATTAATTTCATTTCCCTGAAATGAAAAACTCAATGAACCAAAAAATTGAATTAAAATTGTATTCTATGACTTGATCCAAATCGCACGTTTTTGTGACAGGAAATTTCACAACGAATTAGGAAAGGATTTTTCTATTTGCAGTCTAATTAGCCGATTCTGGAGTACTTGGAATAACGTTAACTGAACTTTTAAAGAACTTTATTCCCTTTCAAAAACCAGTTATTTTCCCATTATAAAAGGACTCTGGTCAAGAATACATTTCTTCCCAAAAAACCTCCCCGAAGTATTATTTTTTCCAAAAGTCACTGATTCCTGACCTAACATCTTGTTCTCCGCATCGCCACGTGACTGTTTTCTTTGATTCCGTTGACCACCACCTGTTCTTATCTATCTCGCTTGTAGTATTTAGTTTCCTTTTTTACAATGTTGTTTGCTGCGAAAAAAAGAGAGAAATGGTCTTTGATTCGGTACTGTAAACATAGTGTATCAGTTTTGTTTTTTGACACTATTGTTTTCTGTTGTTTTTTGAAAATTGTAAAGGTGCAGAATTCGTCATATTCTGATCAAGGACAAGTCTAGCCAGCGGTTCAGCCTAGCCTGAAAGTTTTTTTTAAATTTTCTACAGTAATCTACCTAGAATACTGTAGCGCTCTTTTTTGCATTTCTTGATTACTGTAATCCTCCAAATAGATCTGTTTCACAAACTCTTAGAATCACCTAACATTTTGGCTGTTTTCAATAAGTAATGTTGTGCCGTAGGGAATATAAATACTTCGATACCGGATTCCAGAAATGGCGGAAACGTCTAGTGTGTTACCAGTTTTTGCTACAGTAAACATCTCTTCTTAAAAATAGAAATAAGCCTTACCAATCAGTTCGGAGAGTCCTGTCTTCTTGAAACACAATCTTCGAAACAGTAAAAAATGTGAATTTTTTCAAAATCCAAATTCCGTAGAACAGAAATCCTACTTGCTTCGCTACAGTATGTTTCTAACCTTCCAAAGTCCCGAATTCTGCGATTAGTACACTTCTCACAATAATTAGCTCGGAGAAGTATCTCTTTTAGTAAACTTACCTCTGGAACAGTAAAAAGTGTGGTCTTTTTTTCCGGAAAAAAATTTCAGGACTAAACAACCGAATTAGAAGAATTATCAATCTGGTACAAAACAAATCCGAGAAGGTCCCACAACGACAACTACCGTAACCTAAAATTTTCATTTTCCCCGATTTATTTTCTCGTTGTTCACCGCTTTTCGTCGATTTTTCAGTTATTATCTCTCAAACAATTCGGAAAATAAACATTTTTGATAAGGAGAAATTCCCGAAAACGCACGAAAACCAAGAAAAGAAATCCAAATAATCTCTTCGATTTTTCGCAAAATTTTCAGACCTTTTTAGGTTTTTCAGCTATTTTTGAAGACTCATTTTTGATTTTTCCAGTGTTATTTTTGAAGATTCATTTTCGATTTTTTTCCGGTGTCAGAAACTTGATGGAACGGTAGTTTGATTACTGTAGATTACTGTAGAAAACATTGTAGTTTGTAGTTTTTTTGCAAATACAAACTTAAAAAAAACTACGAAAGGAAATTCGTTTTCTACAGTAATCTACAGTAATGAATCACCGTTCCATCAAAAAATCGGAAAAATCGAAAAAAAAATCTTTGAAATAGCTGGAAAACCTAAAAAGGTCTAAAAATTGTACAAAAAATCGAATAAAAAAAAGAAAAAGTTCTTTCGAAAAATTGCAAAAAAAATTGCAAAATATTAAGGTTACGGTAGTTGTCGTTGTGGGACCTTGTAACTTGTTTATTGACAAGAAGAACATGACTAATAGGCCAGGACATAAAGACTTAGAAAATGCCAAAAAATACCTTCGGGAATGGTCACCGTGGTTTTTCTTTCATAGCTTCAATGTTTTGTACCATAAAAGTAAGGAATAAATTAGTTTTCTCAAAATCTGGATTTCGGATAAATCCCGGACACCTCTGGTGTGTTACTAGTTTCGTTACGGTAATCCTCTAAAATTCAAAAATTACGATTCCTAAAAATACAATGGAGGCAGAATCAGTGCGAAGAATCCTCTGTTTTTAAAAAAGCTATCTATGAAACAGTTTAAAAACTATGATTTTTTTTTTCAAAAAATTTTCAGGACTAAAATAAAATTAGGAGAACTAGAGTCTCTAATAAATTTCCCAGTAATCTGATTCCTAATTATTTCAGATAGAAAGAAAATAATAAATTATCGTCCTGAGGTGATACGGAAAAAAAGATGCAAAATCATTTACAAGTTTCTGAAAATGGTTTTCTGGAAATCTAAAAATTAATAACTTGTATGTAAAAAAGTGCACATTTTTTCACACTTTCAGAAAACCTCTTTCGAGACACCTATAAATGAGTTCTCATTTTTAAATACCCACTTTTACCGAATTTCTCCATTCTGGGTCAATTTCTGACTTGTAGTCTAGTGACTTCTGTCCTCTTTCCTTATTCATCCAAAATGAATAAATAGCAACATTCCAAACAAAACACTTTATGGTTTAATGTTGGCCTTTTCAACTCCATCGCCCTCCCAAACTGTTTTTCTGTTGATTAATACTGATAAAGGTTTCCATGTCTACACACTACAACTCAATTTATGACTTCTGCAAAATAATTTGTTTTTTGGAAGAAGACACTATTTAAGGAAATGCCTATGAGTCAACTTTGGTTTTTGAATTGCATTTTTTTATACCGTAAACCCTCTGATAAACCACCTCGTGGCTTCTGCCAAATATTTGCGCTTACCTGTAATAGAGGGTCCCCTAACTTCGAGCAAATTTATCTCGGCTCTTTCAAAAGATATAAGAAAGTAGTCAACTGATGAAATATTTATGATATTATGATAAATACTTTATCAGTCGACACATTTTTGATATCTTCCACACGAACCAAGATAAATTATCTCAAACTTGACAGTGTGGGGCTTTTCAGGTTGTTTGATAAAATTTCGAAAATTGATCAACTTTCTGCTCGCCTGCTTTCTCGTAGACAATTCTAATCTACAGTAACCCTGTCAATTCCCATTTCAATCACTTCCTCTTGAATGTGATACCGATTTCTCTATTTTTCGGTTCAAAAAGAAGAGAAACTTCCCGCGCGCGAGGAATCCCCGCCTATGTATCACGTATCACTGTACGTAACACAACATTTTAGGTTAAAGGTGGGGGGACATGAAAAAAATAATGTTCTCGAAATTCCGTTCAAAGATGCCTCTCGAGGAGTTGAACTTGTGAGGGCGATGATTGAGGGTGCGGCGCCGCTACCGACTGAGCCACGCGGGCAAAGAGAAAGCGCACGCCCGATTGCATACATAAAGGCGAGGACGACAGCTGTACGCAGAGTGACATTAAGCGTTGTACACCGTCACGGTAGAATGCATACTCTAGCTACAAAAAAACTACGAAAAATCTCCTGTCCCCCCACCTTTAAGCACGAGGGATTGGAAAAAGAAGTAAAAACGAACTGCAAAATTACGATTCTCTGATTTTTCGAAAATTTCTTCTAGGTTCCAAAAAGTAGAAACCATTTCCAGATGTTCTTCCTCCCTCTGAAACTCGCCCTATTCCACTTTCTCAGTATTCCGGCTACCTTCACAGCTTACGCTGCTCCGGTTCTCAAGGTACACCATATACCGTAAACAATAGCTACAGTAATCCCCTCAATAATCTTTTTTCAGTTCATTTTCGAATTCGCATTTCTTACTCTTCATATCTCCCGAATGATGATGTCTGTTAGTTTCCTGTGGCTATGGGAAATTGCTGCGAACACTGAAGTTGTCGATGCGTTCGCCATTGTTCTATCAGTAGTGATTTCTACAAGTGTTCTTCTGGAAATGTTCCAATACGAAATCGTCTTCACTTTCAACTCAGAAAGCACCTAATATGAGCAACAATTGGATCTAAATTGAACGTTTTTTCATGTTCTTTTTTGGAATTTATCTACTCAACGGGTTTCTTTACTACGGGGAAAAATAAAGCAATTCATGAAAAAAGGAAAAAGTATTGGTCTCGGAGTGTTACCATAGTTGTTTGTCGTCACAATCATTCAGACAGGGATAACTTCTATTCGTCATTGACGGGCAGCGGCAACGAACCAGCGGCCGCCAGCACGCAAAACACACGTGTTGCCGCTTACACCATTGATGTCAATTTGACCAGTGTGTTGCAATGCATACAAGAGGCGGCGGGAGAAAAAGAAAGCGAGAGGGAGGGAAAAGAAAAGTGGAGAGAAATGTGGAAAGCGAGTAGGCTTTTTAAAAGAATATTTTTATTCATCTTCATCTAAAAATTTGGAAATATCATTTGTATCAAAATAGCTAATTTTTACAATCCTCGACATTCGACTTCCATACCCCCTCCGTCTCTCCATTCGAATACTCTTCGTATTTGAAAATCGGCGCTTTATCTTTCAACAAATCAATTAATCGTCCCGTGGCTTGAATCGACGTCTTCCGATGAGGAGAAGACGTTGAAATCACTACAGAAGACTCTCCAACATCCACTTTTCCCAGTCGATGGAATATCGCAATTTTCTTGATATCCGGGAGCTCTTTCCGAACTTCTTCACAAATTCCACGTAACTTTTTGTAAGCCATCAAATCGTGACAGTCATAGGAGAGATGAACGACCTCTTTTCCAGCATGATTGTCTCGTGTAACACCGTTAAATGTTGAGATTGCACCGCAGGATGGGCTGAAAAATAAAAATCGAACTTTAAATTTGGGAAAAACAGGTCAACTCACTGGTTAACCAGTTGATCCACAAGTCCAACTTCTATCTTTAAATCCATTAATTTGATATGATTATTGAGAATTTGTCTTCTAAAGTCTTGAATCGACTCGCTCTTATTTTCAAATCTAGGCTCTGAAACGTCGATGAATGTAATTTTCGGGTCCGTTCGACTTCTCTTCCGAGCATTTTCCAAATGTCTCAAGTACGCTGGAAAAGCCACGTTTTCAAAGTATCCAGGAGTATCCGGAGGTACATAATCCGTTCGAGCTTCTCGCCGCCGGCGACAGGTTTTCTGGAATAAATGGTTCTTTCAATTTTCTGGAACAACAACTAACAAAATCCAAAGTTAGCACCACAATCTGATCACACAACTCCACGATTTCGTCCATTTCCGTTATCATATTTCCATCGATTATCACATTTTTGAAGAGTTTCGATTCTTGAAGAATTCTCTCTTTGAACTGATCAATATTAATCGCTTCTTTCTCGTCGAAACTCCAATAATATCCTCGTTCCGTTAGTGTTACAGCAGCCGGATGGTAGATTTTATCAACCTCGTCTTCGGTTTTATAGAACTCGTCTTGGTTTATTATTGTTGTTTCGGCAGCTCCGAACTGCAAAAAAATTGAGATTTTAATTTTTTTAAATGGTCATTATGCAGAGATATTCGGAACGAAGCTTTTTGGAGATTATTTACAGGGACTCTTCTATTTTTCCAGCCATTTTTTTTCGAAATTTTTCATGGAAAAATTCGGCGAATACTCATTCGAAATCCAGGAAAATATATCAATTTTACCAAAATTGTGTCAGTTTCTTTAGCAAAAAAAGTTTCAACGAATTTTTTTCGAAATTGTGGAATTTTCAGTCAAATTTTCACTGAAAACGAACATAATTCCGCGGAAATCTTTAACTTTAAGAAGCACGTTTCGAAGAGGGCTCTTCTATTAGAGAGGCCCTTCAGTTAAAGGGGCCCTTCTAATACAGGTTTTACGATAATTTTTTCGCGTTTTCGAAATATTTTTTCTCCAATTTTCGCACTTTTGCAGTGTAAAAGTGAAATTTTCTTCGAAATTCCAAAAATCCCTGTCATTATGGTAATTCTTCTCACATGTCGCTGAAACTCCTTCGCCAGCGTGGATTTTCCAGAATTCGTGCACCCAGCCAGTGCGAATATTGTGCACGTTTTAGGGATCATCTGGAAAAGACATTTTGGAATGAAATAGAAAAAAATCTTTTAAAAAGGGACAAAGAAAGAAACAACTCCGAAACAGATTCGATTGAAAAAAAGAGGCGATGCAACAAAAAGTAAATCGATAAATTTCATCAGTCTTTCTTATTCCTCTCACAATGATAACAATTGATAAAAGAAAAGGACAAAAAGAGGCTTTCAGAGAAGATTAAAACTATTTTTTAATATGTTGAGATGCTCAACTTGAGAATGAAAAGAAAAAAGAGAGTATTATGAAAATATTGCAATGTTGAAAAGAGCGAAAAGGAGAAAGGAGACGGGGGAAAAGTCAGTGAACCGTAATGGGTATAAATCGGGGAAATTTTCAAAATGTGCATGTCAAAAAAGGAGAAAATTAGATCAATTCGAGTCACTGTCACTCGAGATAATTGCCCGTTTTGAGGGCCTGGCCTGTGGTTTTTTCGCCTTCGGAGCCTTTCTCGAGGGACCAGGCTCATCATCTGAATCCACTTCAATTTTCGCAACCACATCGTCATCATCTGTACTATCGACCGATGCCGCTCGTGTCGATGTGGATTGTCGGAAATTCAGAATTGGGACACGAGCCACTCCACTCGTTCGTTTGATCACAATTTGGTCATTAACCTCGTCCAGTGTGAGGGTTTCGTTACATTTACTGCATTCCATGCGGTCCTGTTTGGATAGGATGGTGGCACTGAAAATTATGATATGATAAGAGTAGGGCATCAGTTACTATTCTGGTACAAAAACCGGAAGGTCTCACAACGAGAACTACAGTGACCTGTATAAAAATTTTTCAGAATTTTTATTCGTATTTCATTGATTTTCGTCGAGTTTTCGGTTATTTTCCTCCAAAAAAGTCGAAAAATTGAAGTTTTTGTCAGTGATAAAATTGACGAAAACTGCACGAAAACCGAGAAAATAAATCTAGAAAATTCGAAAAAATAATTGATCTTTTCTCCGATTTTTTGCAAAATTTTTAGACCTTTTTAGGTTTTTCAGCATTTTTGAAGATTCTTTTTCGCGTTTTCCGATTTTATTTGTCGAAAATTTGACGGGATGGTGTTTTGATTACTGTAGGTTACTGTAGAAAACCTTGTTTGTAGTTTTCGTTTTGCAAACACAATCAAATGTGACGTGTTTGTATTTGCAAAAAAAATACAAACTAAAAGGTTTTCTACAGTAATCTACAGTGATCAAACAACCGTTCCATC